GAGTAGGGTAGGGATGAAGAGGCTGCAGATGAAAAGCTGAAGATGTGTAAGAGGCCTTGGAGAGAAGGTTGTTTTGTTGAGGACAAGTCATTCACTGGAACTGGATCCTCTTGCGCTTTCTGTGTTTGTTTTCCTGACTTTTGTAAGGCGTGCTCATAGCTTTGTCCACTTACTGTAGTTGTTATAAACAGTGTTATAAACAGTGTCCTGGCTGCAGAAAATAGGACTTCCAGAAATAAGTACTTGCTACAGAAATTGGCAGTTGTGATCTCTTCTGATGTTAAATGGTTCCAGAACATGTTATGCTGCCTATGTTTAAGGCTGGAGATAATCTGTCTAAAAAAACTAAAATCTGTGAAATCAGTAACCTGTCTCCTGTTTCCCAAGGTTATGATGGGCTAGGATATCTGCTTGATTGAAGTGCCTGAGAGCACGCATCTAACTTAATAAATTACTTTAAACATCTTTGTACTGGAATTGCTGCAGTGGAAACGTGAATGGAAGGAGACTTATAGAAAGAACTGGCTGGGAAATGAAGCTTCTGAATATCACTGGAAAGGAAGCACATTCTGAAATGGAAAGCCCTGAATAAAGCTTTCAGAACAGTCACCCACAATTTATATATGTAATTTGGTATTGTAATATATGTACCTTTTGGTTATTTCTAATAAGATAATTCTTACCAGACTGACTTGCAGTAGACCAGAAAGAGATGCCAGTTCAGATATGATCTGTGTTAAGATGCATGAATGTCTGAGGCTAAAATCGAGACTCAGAGGTTCTTGTGCAGTTGAGAAGTGCTGGAAGAATGATGTGAAATGAAGATGGTGCAGATACCCAGATTGCTTTGTTTTTATCAATTGTATTGCAGGCAAATGACTTCAACAACTTAATTATAAGTTTCTGAACATTTCTGAGAGTTTGCATGGAAAGATCTGATTTGCAGATGCTGGAAGGCAAGTTGCAGTTTCTAATGCTTTTCTTCTTTTCAGGCGACCATTGGAATTGATTTCCTGTCAAAAACAATGTATCTTGAAGATCGCACGGTAAGTGAGGCATCTGTGTGATAGCATGGCAGCTGCGGTCATGGGAGCAGCAGTTGCTGTGCGTGCTGTTTCGCCTGGCCATTCCTCCAATGACTGCTGAAATCCCACAGTAACGTTCAGAGGGACAGTCTTTGTTGCATCAAATCACTGACCCACTCTCCTCTTTCTCATACTTGTTACTATCTGATACCTGTAGAATGAAGTCAAAATCTTTCATGCAAAATTGGGGCAAGCTAATGTCCATATCCTGGGGAATGGGCTCTCTGTTATGGGTACCTTAGGTGTAGTTTGCTCCCAGAATTTGCAGCTCTTCCTCTGGGATTGTCAGTATAAATGGGTCTGAGCAGACTTCAGGCAGTTCCAAGTCTTGAAGTCATTCGTGATTACCAGTGGTGGCATAGTTCCTCCTCGTAGAAAGGCTCCTTTTGTAACACGGTTCTGACGCACTGTTAACAAAGGCATTTTGGATTTAGCTTGCGTGATATTCCTTTTTGCATAAAGAGATCCCTTACATCCCTCTCCTGTCTTTCAGTATTTGTCTTTTCGTTCATTCATGTATTGCTAGTACTTGCCTTTTTGCTAGTTTTATTACTGGCTGAGAAGTATGAAACTGTTGTGAGGAGAAAGGGGCCAGTGTTGTGGTGGAAGTCCTTTGTGTTGCTTTAGGTCTGTTGCTTCTGAAGAAGTCTCAGCCCAGTGTGCCTTGTGAGTTTCCGAGTGCTTCTTTGCCATGTTACCAGTGGTTTGCTATGAGAAAAGACCTTACTTAATCTTTGGGAGAAACTACTTGAGTAACATTCTTCAATGGTAGTAGCAGTGGCAGAAGAAGAGAAAGATACTGGGAATGCTGCCTGACGCCTGTGAAGGCAAATTGGAAGGCCTGTATACTGTTTTCAGCAGTGTAGTCTTGATTTCTTGTGGCTGTGTAGATCAGGATGTCATTCACCTGCTGGCCTGCTATCCAGAAAATACCATTTTCTTTCCCATGTTGGATATACTGTTAGCTTTCCTGGTTGTGTAAGTGGTCCACAGAGCCCCTAAAGCCTGTTTAAACAATAGAGAGGTGTTAAATGTAGATAAGAGGAGGGAGAAATACAAGCACACAAGCGGGGAAAATCCAGACATTTAAATAATTCTCGGATGTGGCTAATGCTGTATTTTACAATAGGCTTTGACTGTTGGGCTTGAAATGAAGAATGCTAAGCCTGTAACTGCAGTGTATGCTTTGGCATATTCAGTATGTCCTTACACCAAATATATCCTGAAATTATACCTGTGCTAGATCAGTCAGCTCTAAATGTGGCCTGGGTAGCATGTAATAAACAGCAGAAGGGACAAATACATGTGGAGTTTGGTTCTTCTAAACCACCTCCAGTAGCCTCACACAGAGGGCAGCGGTAAGTATGCCATTTCCAGCACATTACCAGTGCACAGGGACCTGTGGCATTAAGTGAACTGGGGCCACGAGAAGCCCCATCCTCAGTACCGACTGTCAGGCTGCCAGTTCCTTGTTACAGGTACAATCTCATTTTTGAAAGACTGAGTAGTATTTCCTTTTCTGTGTCTTGATATCTTCCCAGACTTGTTGGATTTAAGCACAAGATAAGCCAGTCTAGAGGGTGTTAGCTATTCTAGGTAGGCTTGTACCTACTGCTGTGTTTCACCACATCAGGCTTTCCAGTGGGTTAATCAGTAGCAGGGTGATGTAGTCTTCATGGTTAGGAGTCACCGCATCTAGCTAGTGGTAGTCTGCTTGTGTGACCATTATAGCCAGAGTTCTGATGTGGCAGGATGCACGGAGGTATGTATGCTTATTTCCCTCATTAGCAGATGGTGTGAGAAGGTATTTTTTTAGGGATATCTTAGTTTTATGATTAAATGGAAGAATGTGTTCATATGTGCAAGTTATTAATGGGTCTGTGGAGGGAGGGAGGTTTCTCAGAAGTGCTGGGCTGAGGTTACTGCAAGAATATGGTTAGAAGTGTCGTTGGCTCTTTTCACATTTCTGTTCCATTTTAACGTTCCTTTTGTTGCATTATTTTTGCCTTGCAATTTTTTCCTTTTTATTTTTATTTCACTTGAGTTTTGGTTTTGTTTTCCATTTTCCTGCTCTTCCCCTTCCCTCTACCCCTACACTTTTCCATTTCCCAGATCAGGCTGCAGCTGTGGGATACAGCCGGCCAGGAGAGGTTCCGCAGCCTCATTCCCAGCTACATCCGTGACTCTGCTGTGGCTGTCATTGTCTTTGACGTTACAAGTAGGTATTGAGCCGGAGTGTCTGCAGGGACCTTGCTTTTAACATGTATCTTGTATGCATTGGAAGTGTTGGTGGTATCTGAAAAGAGCCAAGATAGGCAATCGGCCCCAGGACTGTAGGTGTTTCATGGGCTGAGGGGTTGTAGCTGAGCATCTTCCCCCACAGCCGATGGTAACTCCATCCCATAATACAGAAACTGGGGAACTGGAAAACTCAGGTCTGCGCTAAGCTCCAACGATGGAAGTGATACACGGAGGGCTGGCAGGTAGGTGAGTAGGGACTGTGTCTGTGCTGATTGGAATGAAAGGTGATTGATAGCCTTTGGAAAACCTTATACTTTTCTGGTTTGGGTTTGTTTTGTTTTTTTTTAAAATCTCAGAATGAATTTTTGTTCCTTTCTGGATAACTAGATAACAACTTCAGATGCGAAAGCTGTCAGAGTAGGTAAAACAATACAACACCCATTTAAATAAAAGCTATGTAGTGACTTGTGAGGATTCAAGACTCCCATTTCATTGAAGAGAAGAACTGGCAATTCATATGTGTAATGAGAGGGCTTTTGAAAGAGGAGAGATGTAACTACCGTAATTTCTAAAGAATAAACAAGCTTAGATGGAAATTCTCAATAAGTCTTGGCATGAATATTTTCGTGTAAGATATCAAGATATGAATACAATTATTTCATTGTAACTCCTTGTTATTGATTCCACTTGATCTGGCATTTTCAATTAAGCTACAGTATCGGCATAAATATCTGGACAGGATTTATACCAGTGAGCGAACACCATGTGGACAAAGTCTAAGTAAAGAAGGTAGTGCAGGTGAAAAGCCTCTGGCCCACCTCTATTCTGTCACAAACTCTAGGTTATAGTGAGGTTTTAGGGACCAGGGGTTTGTTTTGCTTTGGTTAACTGAAGTGCTTACCAAATAATAGACTTCTGTTATGATTTATCTTGCATATTGAGAGCAAATAATTACATGGTTTTTCTCCCAGTTCTGTAGCTTAAGTAGTTGACTCTGGGAGGATTTCTGGTTTTACTAGTGTAAAACTGAAGTGATCTGTTTGGGGAGTGCTGAGGTGTGCATGTGATGACTTATGCTAGGAGCTCATCTAGGTGAGGCGGTGTGGCAGGCCACATAGGTTGGCATCTTTTCTTCCCACTGTTGTGACAGGTACAGGATGCTGTTTATCCAGGCAAGTGGAAAAATCTTGCCAGTCTAGACTGTTCTTAACAGCTTCCAGACATGTCAAAAATAATTAAGTGATAGCTGATCTCATCATACTTTGGTAATGGTCTGATCTTTTCAGATAATTTCATTTTTTTCTTTGTTCTGTTTTTAGTGACCGAGAGGCTTTTAGTTTTCCTGTGTTACTGAAGGAGCATGGTTATGTACTTCTGACGGCGAGATGATGGCGAGCGCTAGTGCGGTTAGGAAAAGACATTTTCCTTTACCACTCTGAAGAGCTATATATTTGCGTTGTCTTTAGTGGTAATTGTATTTAGGAACCTCAAATAGCCTCCTGTAAGTTAATGCTGGTCATGGTAGTGTAAAATAGGGACAGTCCCATAGGACTTACATAAGTACCAGCCAAGATACTCTTAACTAGTAGAGAAAAACTGTTAGCTAGCATGTGGGGAGCTGAGAAGAAAAAGAGAAATTGCATAGTTATTGTCAATCTGATGGGCATCTTGAAATGCAAGTGGCCTGTGAAGAGATCCATGGTGAAAGTCTATACTGCAACTGGGGCCCTGTTCTGAACAAGTCACCTTGTTTCTAAGAGAGACTGGGTTAATTCTTGGTTGAGGACCTTTCATCTTTCCAGACTGGTAGGGTCATTAGCACGCTGTGGTATTTGAGTGCGTTATTTATATTTTTCTCTTCCCGTCCAGAACGGGTGCACACAAACTTTGACTTCTAGAAACAAGAAGCCACAGAAATACTGTTACTTTCTCAGGTCACTTCAGGGGTGCCTGCATGGTACCTGCAGCCTTCCCTCAAATGGTGTTACCCTTCTCTACAAGATTACTGGGGCCAGTTCTTCCCTAGTTGTGTGGCACTTCCTCTGGTTGCCTTTTTGACTGTTAATCTGAAGATTGGAGTGTTCAAATCACCACCTTGGTAAACTTTCTGAGCGAATAGTCTGGTGTGGCAGCAATGTCTTGGGGACTGTGTGGAAGCTTCTTGTGATGTCCAGAAGCAAGAGCCAGAAGCTGTCATTATCAGTCAGATCTTCCAGCACCAGTGTAATACTGTCCAAGTGCTTGGAGTGGAGTTTGTCACCCTCAGTTCCCTGCGGTAGTGAAGAGCCCTGACTTTTGCTGCTGTAATCAAGGCTGCCTTCAAGTGAAGCATGAGCTAATTGCTTTAACTGTAAACCCTAATCTTCCTTAAGCCCCAGGGCATCAGATCTACATAGCCTGACGTAGATACGATGTTGTTTTGAATCTGGTTGTAGCAAGACACTTTGCAGACATGTGCTCTGTCCAGCTTCTATTTCTCTTCTAAACAAGCCAATTACTGGTCCTTCTGAAACTGCTTTCTCCCTTGTAGCCAGTCTCCTGCAAGCTGCCTTATTAACCGCTGTTCTGTGCATAAACAGCTGCTCTCCCTCATTGCTGAACAAGCGGCTTTGTGAGCACATCTAACCAATGCATGTAATTAAGCTGGGAACCAGTATCTGCCCTCCTACGAAACTCATGCTTGTTGAGAATGCCAACAGCAATCTTGTTTTCTGGCAGTGTAGTGCTACTTGTACAGCTCACCATGTGGGGTAATGACTTGGAAGGAAATGGTATCACTCCCAATTGTGAAAAGTTTTTGTTTAGCACTCGCTGTGGTAGTTGGGCATGTTTTGACCATTGCTGTTTCAAATAGGCAAGTCTCAGACCTTAGAGCTATCATATAATAGGTCAATTTGTGTTTGGGCATAGTTCTGGATGGAGATCAGCTGTACCTCTGGCAGCATTTGTGCTTGTTGCTGACTCTTGTGCTTATCTGAAAGGGAGAACCCAATGCCCTTTGTGTCACATGAAACCGACAGTGTGTAATACTTGCTTTTGTTTCTGCTCGAACTTTAGTTATTGATTGCCTTAATCTTGCCTGAAAATCCCCATTGCCATCTTCTGGATGCTGGAGAATGGATGCTGTTTTACCGCGTGGTGTCTGGGCTGAGGGAACTGTATGTCTGTCATGTGGAAATTGCCCAAAAAACTTTGATCTGAGATGCTCTAGGCTAGGAGTCCTGGGGAGACCCCATACTGAATCCTGGGTAGACCAGAAAGGCCAGCTCTGTATTATTTGTTAGCTACCACTATCAGCAGTGAGGTAGTAGCCATAACCTAGAGCTCTTTGGGAACAGCAGAATACATAGATGAGCAAAGGAGGGGATTAGAGCACATTATCTACAAAGAGAGTCAGAAAAGCCAACTTCTGTGGTGTTTGGATATTTGGGGCAAGATTACAAGGTCAACCTCAGCTTCTCAGACTGAGCTGCATACAGTTAATTCTAGAAATGGCCTTTTCTCTAAAGGACAGTTTCCTCCTTTCTTTTCTCTCTTTCTCTTTTTCTCTCTCTCTCTCTCTGCTCTCCCTGGCCTGGTACCAGCAGGTTCGGCTGCAGCTTTGGGACACAGCAGGCCAGGAGCGGTTCCGCAGTCTCATTCCCAGCTACATCCGCGACTCCACTATTGCTGTGGTAGTCTATGACATTACAAGTGAGTGATGCTTTGGTGTCTCATTATTTGAAATACTACATGTAAGCAGAACTAATAAGTTACAACCACAAGTTCTGCAAAAAGATGATTTAACATTAGAAATGTTTTTTCCCCACCCTGTTTCCCTGTCTGAGTGGAAAACAATTTATGGGTCATTTATGTGTGGTGTGGGGAGATTTGGAGAAGCACCTGAGTACAGGCATAGCATTCTCCCTCTCTGAAAAGAAGTTCTGTCCTCAGCACTCCCATTTGATTTTTCCCACAGACTTGAATTCTTTCCAGCAAACCTCCAAGTGGATTGATGACGTTCGGACAGAGAGAGGAAGTGATGTCATCATCATGTTGGTGGGGAACAAAACTGACCTGGCAGACAAGAGGTAATGGAAGGGAGCTGGCGGCCTTGCTGCCCTGGCCAGTGAAAGCAAGGAACTGGCCAACTAGTCTGTCTTCAAAACAATTGTTGATTTTAAATGAAGCATAAATAGCTTGTCATGAAATTCAGATTTCTAGTTTCAGCATATGCAAAGTTATTCCCTTTTGCTATTCTACAAATAGTTTTAGTTAAAACAAACCCACTTAAAAAATTCCTTTTACTTAAATCAAGTATCTCTATGCCGTGTTTCTCAATAGTGTGTTTTGTCTGATTTTTCTTTTCATGCTGAGATAAAGCCAAAAAGATGTCTTGCAAAAGCAAGGAAATCTACCTTTTTTCAATAATCCTATTTACATGACTCTTTCTGCATGTGCAACTGTCAGTTCATAGTACAGTTTCTTGTTACCAGATGCAGCATGAGCTTTTACAGAATCAATCTAAAAGGTTTCCCTCTGAGCATAAATTTCATGTTATACATAACACGAACTGTGATGTTGTGGATGTGTGAGAGGAAACTAGATTAGCAAAAGCAGTCTTCCCCAAGAGACATAAAATGTTAATTAGACTCTTAAAATCATGTGGACTTAATGTTTTGGGACATGTCATAAAGCATTTTGCTTTCAAAACTCAATCCTACGACACCACTTCAGCTAACATAACCAGTGTAATAGCTTAGAAGACCACAGACTTGCGCTTTTGCATTTCTGTTTCAAATTGTTCTCTTGATTGTTGATTTAGCAAAAATTTTGTGTAATGTTTTCAGAGTTTTTTCACTCTTCATGAAGACATCAGAAACATAGATGAGAAAAGACTTTTATTTTAATGGTTAGTGTAGTAGTTGGCAAAGCGAAGATGGAGTAAGTCATGCAGTTCCTTACAGTCCCAATACTTTAAACTGAAACATCCTCACATATGCCGGGTACTCTAAAATGTGTGCTTCATAGGACATGAAGTATTGAAATGATGGGGAATTTTTATCTGGTGTAAAAGAAAGCATCTCAAAAAGCAGAACTGGGAAACACTTGGATCTCACAGCGAAGTGAGGTCTTATAAAATCAAACCCTTACCCTTTGGCTATTCACAAGATGCTTCTGATCAAAAGATAACAGCTTGAAAAGCTTACGTATGGAACACTAATGTTTTCTCAGAAAAATCTTGTGCTATTGTCTGAACTGCCTGTTTACTCTGTTTCTTGGAATGATGGGCCTAATAGGGATCGGACTGTTTCGTTGTGGCATGCTACCACATTTTAAATTCTAAACCTTGCTTTACTCACTCCTGCAGTGTACATATTGCTTCAGAATGTATTGTGACCTGTTTTTCCCCTTGTGGTTTTGGTGTTGTCCAAATGCTCGTCCGAGACAATACCGAGCATCCCTGGCTGCACAAACTGGTGTCAGGAGATGCTTTTTGCCCTTTGTCCCTGTGCGAGTCACGCTGTTAGATTGTAGTTTGCCATGCCTAGCAGGAAAAGCATAGACAGTTCTAATACCAGCAAGCGGTTTGAGTCAGCGGGGAAAAGGGTAAAGTTAGGCTCCAGCCGGGTGCTGCGTGGGCTTTGTACTGGTGGTTCTTCCAGAAATGTCTTCTGTGTCCTCCACACAGACCCCCCTCAGTCTTGACAACTATTTGGCTTTTCCCACTCTCAGTGGGAGGCCATTCTAAGTGTCCTTTGCCTTGCACTTTGGAAATACTGGTAAAACTTGGTGCTCAGAGCTTCAGAAATACGATAAAAGTGAGCAAAATGCAAGATGTTCTACTTGAGCCAGTTCTGGATGTTGACCACTGAGTATCTCTTATGTCCTCTTGGGAGCTAGAGGTAGCTGCAGCTCCCTGACTGAATAACCTGACATTTAGATTTGAGGCTTTATAATTTCTGTCAAAATCCAGTTTCATATAGAACTGGAAAACCCAATGGGATAATTTCAGCTTTGGATTATTTCCTGATAGTTAGGCAGAGTGTGTGCAGGCCGGCTGGCACAGCACTGACATAAGTATTAAAAATACCAGAAAATTGTTTGAAACATACCTGCAGTTGAAGTTCATGTAGCACTAGAAATTCTTATTTTAGAGATTTAGGTAACAGTAGTCATGGTCTAGGCTAGAATTTGGAATTATGGTGTATAGCCAGGTATTAGTAAAAGAAGCTGCCTTGTCTTTCTTCTTAAAAGGAAGTTAAATTTGTCTTAGGCTGAAATTCTGGGTCTTCTAGGGCTGGACAAAGCTGCAGTATAAGTCTGAGCTTGGTCACTTTTTTTGAAATAGAATGCAGCGTATTGGAAGCCGTGCGTCCTATGGTAAAAACAGAGTGATGATGCAAGTTGAGTTCTGAGGCCAAAAAGCTGAACTGAAAATAGCACTGTTCTTATTTAGTGCAGCCTGTTAAGTTTTTCTTTCCTGCTAATGTTGTGTCAGTTGGTGGCTTTTTTCCTGCAGTTTTCTTTTTATCATTTTCGGACTATTTTTCTTTGTTTTGGTTTTTCTGGTCTGTGATTTGTTCTCATTGCTGTAGACAGGTTTCTATAGAGGAGGGTGAGAGAAAAGCCCAAGAACTGCATATGATGTATATTGAAACCAGTGCTAAAGCAGGATATAATGTCAAACAGGTATGTACAGGGTATTGATCAGAGATGCAACTGCAGGTACTTGCTTGCAAGCAGCAGCCTAGCACTTGCTGTTTTACTGTACTTGCTGCTGGAGCCTTTCTGAAATCTTTCTGTAACCGCATGGAGTTCCCTTCTGTTAACTTCTGGGAAACTGCTTTTTGTACCAGGTGCCACATATGGGGATTCTTCCTTCCCTTGAGGATGCTGTGAGTGAGGCTCAAGTGTACTGCACAAACTTCATCCTGTGTTGATCACCCGTTATTAATACTCCTAAGTCCAGGCATTCCCGTGGTAACTTACCTGAGGCTGTTTCATTCGTAGCTGGAGGAACTGGGGGTCTTAAAGACTTGGAGGTGCTGAGGTCTCCGTTGGTGGCCTGTGCACTCTTGTAGGGGATGGCGAAGCGGCCCTCCGCTGAAGAGGGTCTCAGTCACAGACATCTCTAACTCTTCCTGTCTGTTCTTCCTTTCTGTCTTTCTGCTTCTGTTTGCATCTCTGTCCAGGCAAATCACTACAGAAGAAGGTGAACAGAGAGCCAAAGAGCTGAATGTGATGTTTATTGAGACCAGTGCAAAGACTGGATACAATGTGAAACAGGTAGATCAGTGTCCTGTTCTAAAGACAGGAAATCTGTACGTTATTGCTTTGTGTGTATGCTTCTGCTTGGGGTTCATGTTCCGTCAGATATTTGCTTGTATAGTTTAGTCAATGCCCGAAATGCTTCTTGCCGAGTGATCACTGCTGCTGCTTTATCTAGTGGAAGCTCCTTTCCTGTCAAGTCAATGATTCCCTGTTAAAGCTAAGCAAACTTACCTTGAAAGAAAGGAGGATCTAAAACCAGAATGTGCTGAGGGATAGGAACAGCAGTATTTTGTGCAGCCAGTCAAACATAATTTTATACATTCCCTTTGCTTTTGTTAATAGTTAGAGCACTGTTTTCTGAAATCAGTGCTGACATCAGTTGGGATAATTGCTTGTGCTGATGCACTAGAGTAGAAGTTCCTGCTTCTGTTTGCAAGCCGCAGAGGAAAATCTTAGAATAGTTGAGGTTGGAAGGGATCTCTGGAGATCGTCTAGTCTAACCCTCATGCTCAGAGCGGCCTGCCCAAAACTGCCTCCAGTAGCATTTTGAATATCTCAAAGGATAGAGACTCCAGACAACCTGTCACGGTGTTTGACTATCCATCTGTACAGTAAAAAAAAAAATTTGAATTTTTTTTTCTTGTATTTAAACGGAATTTCTTGTATTTCAGTTTGTGCCTGTTGCCTCTTGCCATAAGCTTGTGATCCCACTCTCCACTACTTCAGGAATTGTTCTGAAGTGTGACAGAACTTGGGGAGTAAAGCAGCTGTAAGGTCCAGGAGTCTGCAGGGAGCATAAGTACTACTGGTGCCAGCTGGGAAACATACTTGCCAGTTTGCTGCACAGCAGCTAGTTAGCAGAACCTCACACTGGGATTAGGAAACTTTGGTTTTGTTTCTTTTGGCTATTCTGGATTGAATCCACTTTAGTCTTTGGTTCTAACTTACTGTCACTTTATTTGCCTAGCGGGTGTTTGCAGTGAGAACTTCTGTGAGTAAAAGGATGCTAACTGCAGCACCTTGCTGGTATCTCGGTAGCTTGATTTTGCAAGTAACACAATTTGGAGGGATGGAAGAGAAACCCCTGCCAAGCTACTGTGAGAAAAATCATCATTAGCAGATGATTGCTCTATTTTTTTATGCAGCACTTTTCACCAGACTGCCTAGCAGTGTCTGTATTGTGTTAACTGCTGCGTTAGTATCAGCAGGAGGAGCTCTAAGCATCGACTTGAGAAATTACGCAAAACCATTTTCTGTTTTTTATGGGGGTGTGATAGTCCTTCCCAGCTCTAGCACATCCTTAATAGCTTAAATGCAGCTCACTTGAGCCAGCTGTTCTGCTCAGAAATGGCTGGTGTGCAGCTGGACTGAACAGAAAGGATGGGCTGTAAAACCTCAGTTATTCCATGGAGTTCTTAAACCTTCGATCTCTTGCAAGGTGGCTTGTTAGCAGTCTAGACTTGTGCACTGTAACATTGCTGTGTGCAGAAGCAGTTGAGACTGGAAATGGTAAATGGCATGCTTACTGAGTGCAGGAAGGAATTCTTCTATGCGTCCCTGGAAGAACTGTTACTAATTATTTCCATGTTCTGTTCAAGTAGAAACAGGTGAAATAAAACTGTCTGTTTCATAGGCATTGAATAACTTCTTTAATAAAACCTGTTAAATTTCTTGGGTAAGATTCTTGTGGCATTTGTTGATCATTGCTTTGCTTGCTAAAGTACCCACATAACAAGTTTGTACAATTCAAACTCTTAAGATCTGCTGTAAAGCAATGTTTTTTAACAGGCATTTTCTTTCTGACAAGCCTTCAGCTTTCCTATTGCTACTTTTCAGCTTTTCCGTCGTGTGGCTGCTGCCTTACCTGGGATGGACAGCACACCAGAGAAGAGCAAAGAAGACAGTATCCTTGCTTTCTTATCAGTAACTTTGCCTGTTCTCATGGAGTTTGACAATTATCTTTTGCTGGGTTGGGCTTACTGACTTTTTGGCACATTGTAGGATGGGCCTTACAGGGTTTTTGCAGAGATATGGCTGAACCAGCCAGTGTAGTGTGGTGCTTACCTATGGGTGTAAACTGAGGACCCTGCTTGTGGTCTATATATAAATGTACAGAACTACTTATAACAAGCTTAGGATAAAATTTGCATAGTTTTAAAATACCATAATACTTTCCTCCTTTTGCACAGGGCTGTCTTGTGCATGGACCTGTTCAATTGGGCGCTCTCCTCTAAATGGTCTTGACATACCGCGTCCACTGGTTTTGCAGTTAGTCCTGTTCAGGCAGGATATGGTATGCTCTGCTGTGCTAAAAGATCTGCAGTTACCAAGAAGGGACAGCTAACAACCTTTCCAGGTACTGATCTCTTTCTCTGTTCTTCTTATTTTTCCTTGATCTGGGTGATTCCTTAACTTGTCTCCTGCAGTGATTGACATCAAACTAGAGAAACCTCCTGAGCAGCCTGTAACGGAGAGCGGGTGCTCATGTTAACAGGCCCGTTCTGTAGCAGCACATTCCCCAACCGGCCAGTCTCACTGAAGAACATCACCGCTCATTGGCTAGGCAACCCTACTTTGTGGGCTGAAAAACCAATCTACTAAGCGAGCGAACTCCCTGTTTACTGGTGGGGAGCAGCCCCGGCCGCCCCTCTTACTGCATGGTATGAGCCCTGAGTGCAGAATGAGTGTCCTGTCTTTTCTTTTATTTTTTTATGTTGTTGCACTTTGGCACTGTGGTGCCCTTTACACTCTCTCTCTTCCTCTCCTTCTCCCCCTCTTCCCCACCTTGAGCCTGTCTGCTCAGATGTATCTTGTGAATGCAGTGGAAAAGCCACCAAGTTAGGGAAGACAAAAATAAAGCTTGGGGGTGGGCTTTCCACCTTCCTTACTGCCTTGCATCTTAAATAGTTCCCTGTCCACTCCAGCCCTGTCTTTGTCCTGCATCCCCACTTCCTCTCTTGAAAGGCTGCTCCTTTTAAACCAGTCAGTTTGACTTGGCCTTGCCTTTTTGGACAATACAGGTTATCCGTTTCTAGGCTTTTGCTTCCTGCAGGGCACACACAATATTAGCTCCTCGGTTTCTCCTTTCTGTGGATGATCTTGGCTAACTCTTGCTCACGACTTCTGAGTTTTGCCCCTCGTGTTACACGCAGAACTGGAAACCCCCAGGCTCTGATATATTTGGCCTCATTGCTCCTGTTTGTGTAGCAGAGACATCCCACAGGCTGCTCTCCTCAGTTGGAGTGTCTTCCCATCCGGAGGATGTTGGCGCTTGGTGAGTGTTGGCTGTCAGATGTGGGGAAGGAAGAGGGTACAGAGGCTTTGCAGCGTGAGGCGTGATTGATCTTCAGGCTGGTTTGTAGAGACCTGGGTCCTGGCTGTCACGAGTGAAAGCAAACAAGTTGCCTGAAATCCATCGCTGCAGGGGCAATACCTGCCCTGGGAGTCACAGAGGCTGTTCAGGTTCTTTTCCCAGTCTCTGTTCTCCTGTTCCTCGTCACATAGACTGGGAGCTTCTTCACATGGAGCAGGAGAGCTACAGCAGGTAGAAGGGCAGTGATAGCTGTTCTATTCTCATACCTAGGTTGCTGCTTGATGAAATCATTCATAGCTGCTTCTGCCTTCGTAGTAGACTTCTGGGGGCTGGGGCTAGTAGCCCTTTCACTTTTGAGGTAGTTTTAAGCTGCAGCATTGCCGAAGCTGAGATGAGCAGTAGCAGGGATTTATTGTCAGACCTGGGTAGAGGAATGGAGGACTGTATGCTGCTGAAGTGAATTTTGGTGTCACTTCTCAACCTTGGAGGTTGAGAAATACCTCCTCTTCCCCCTGCCCCTCATTTCTAATTGTTAATAGAGCTTTTCAGAGACTTTTACTGCGGGGTTTGTTCATCTGTCCTAACCAGAAGTCGGTAGGTTTGTCTGTTGACAGAGAGGAGAATAAAGCAGTCGGATGGTGGTAAGCCATTCACTGTTCTTTTCATCACCCGGCCTATGTCATGCTGACAGGGAGGATGCTAGTGGGCAGGAGAGCGACTGAGCGCAGTGTGATGGGTGGGGACAACAGCTTTTGGTGGTTAGTGACACCCCCCTAGCAGGATGCCCCTTGGTCACTGACACAGCGTGCGCACTTTGAAGCCTGTGGGCCGTTGAGGGAGGGGAAGGGGCAGCCTCGGACCAGGAGCTGGCAGTCCCCGCGTTTGGTTTACTGGTGACAAGTCACCTCGCTGCTTTTGTTCCCCAGAGCCCTGTCCCTTCCCCTCCGGGTGAGCTGGCCTGCAGGAGGAAGCCGGGATGTGGTTTCCCATTTTACTCTGGAGTGTGTCCCCCTCCCCTTACCCACAGTCCCAGCTGGCAGAGCCGGGTCCCAGCGCCGGTGGGAAGGTCAGAGCCCCCTCCTCTGTACATACCCCTGTTGTGTGGGAATTGCTGATGTTTGTCGGTGTGTCCCGTGTCTGCCGTAGAACAGGTTTTGCTGTCCCCTTCTCACAGGCGGGTGTGCGCTGGCTGCTCTGCTGTCGTGTTGTTCCCAGTCACGGACCTGGGGGGAGGGAGGGGGGAGACCCTAAG